ACCCTGAGAAAACTATAATTCAAAAAGAATCATGTACCACAATGTTCATTGCAGCTCTATTTGCAATATCCAGGACATGGAAGCAACCTAAGTGTCCATCGACAGATGAATGGATAAAGAAGATGTGGCACACATAGACAATGGAATATTACTCACCCATAAAAAGAAATGAAATTGAGTTATTTGTAGTGAGGTGGATGGACCTAGAGTCTGTCATACAGAGTGAAGTAAGTCAGAAAGAGAAAAACAAATACCGAATGCTAACACGTATATATGGAATCTTAAAAAAAAAAAAAAAAAAGTTCTGAAGAACATAGGGGCAGTACAGGAATAAAGATGCAGATGTAGAGAATGGACTTGAGGATTGAGGACACGGGGAGGGGGAAGGGTAAGCTGGGACGAAGTGAGAGAGTGGCATGGACTTATATATACTACCAAATGTAAAATAGATAGCTAGTGGGGAGCAACCCCATAGCACAGGGAGATCAGCTCATTGCTTTGTGACCACCTAGAGGTATGTGATGGGAGGGTGGGAGGGAGATGCAAGAGGGAGGAGATATGGAGATATATGTATATGTATAGCTGATTCACTTTGTTATATAGCAGAAACTAACACACCATTGTAAAGCAATTATAGTTCAATAAAGATGTTAAAATAAAGAAATAAATTAATAAATAAAAAGAAAGTAAAGGCTTTTTTTTTTTTTTTGCGGTACGTGGGCCTCTCACTGTTGTGGAGCACAGGCTCCGGACGCGCAGGCTCAGCGGCCATGGCTCACGGGCCCAGCCGCTCCGCGGAATGTGGGATCTTCCCGGACCGGGGCACAAACCCGCGTCCCCTGCATCGGCAGGCGGACTCTCAACCACTGCGCCACCTGGGAAGCCCAGTAAAGGCTTTTTAAAAAAATATAATATATATATGTTTGAATACAGGTTTATATATACATTATATATATATACACACACATACACACACACACACACACACACAAATAGTGTGTGTATACACACCGTGAATGGAAAAGAATTGGCCAGACTGAATAGAAGTACACAATTGTCATAGGGAGCCATATTCTAGATAGTGTCCCATCTCTGTACGTTCACCAGCCTTCTCTCATCACTCACTACCTATGTGCTTTAGGAAAGAGAGACTTATGGACTAATGTAAAGAACTAAAGCTCTACAGACTTTGACAAATAAGGTAGGAGATCTCTTCCTGATCATCAAATGGCTGGTGGCTCAGGGCGTTGAGATTTGTTCACAAAGAACAGAAGGCACAGAATAAACATATTTCATCTTGTGATAGATTCAAGGTTTGTTTATAGTGTTCTGAGGTAGAATTATAGAAATGATTGGTATTTTCTCTGCAATGAAATTTATTATTTTTTTAATAAAGAGAAATGAATCAATGAATTTTATTATTTTAATGAGTTTTAGCTGCAAAGGTGCATAGAGAGCATCTGGTCCAGTGGTTCCCAGTTCAGGTTCCTGAACCACTGGGGTCCTCTGAGCTAGAAACAGGAGTGACAGTGGTGATGGTTCTGTAAGCCATTTTCAGAAGCTTAATGGAAATCATACATTTACCTGCATTATGACCACAAGGTCTGTTATTGAACAAATGGAGTTTGTTTGGTTTATTAACTCTCAATATACTGTCAGGGTCCATTTTAATTTTTTAGTTTCTTTTTGAGCAGTTCTTACTATTTTATGTAATGATTGATATGCATTACTTATTTTTTCATAGACATCTTCCAAAGAACAAAGAGAATTTGCTTTAGAAAAGAAAAAAATTCATATTATCTTAGCATTACCATACTGGCCAATTGGACCCTTTCATAAATCTAAAATACATTTTGGAAACATAGTGATCTTATATTACTTGCCTCTTGAAATATTTTACTGTTTCATCATCATAGATATTATTTCATCACTTTTCATTAACTGTTCTCTACTATGAACTCATGAATCAATGAGTAAACAGTATCTCTCTAAGAATGAAAAGGGCATATGGTATTTTCATACAGTTAATCTTTCGCATAATATTTTGTGATAGGAACCTTGAAAATTCTGTTTGCTAAAATTACGTGACCATATTTTTTTTCTTTTTTGATGGTATTTATATACCAAATTTTATTTCATATAGTTTGTAACAAGACAACTGCTGAAGGCAAAGGCAAAGACAAAGATGATTGAAAGGAAATAGATTATGTAGAAATGAAACAATTTATTGGATTGATCACATTAATTGGTAATTATAAATTTAATAATGAAAATGTTTTACAATTATAGATCAAAGAAGATGGCTGGGCCATCCTCTCTTCAACAAAAGTGTGAGCCATAACAGTTTTTTAAAGTGGTACATTTTGATGATGCAAATACAAGAAGAAATGGAAGTAATGATAAGCTAAAACCTATTAATAGAAATGTATTTGTAATCTAGAATCACTTGGGTGGTGCAGGTTGAGAAAAAACAGAAATAATCAGTTAGAATTTATTAAAGATGTATTTGAAATCTGGAATCAGGATATATGAAATGCTTATATTTAAGGCTTGTACACGACAAATTCACGATGCACAGTTGATGCACAGTTAGCTGCATTCAAAGGATGTAGCCCATTTTGGGTGAATATACCTTCAAAACCGGGAAAATAGTGGAATATAATGAGTTTACTATACTTTGTTATTTAAGTTCCCAGTAATTTTCTTTCTTTTTAAATAACAGCTTTATTGAGATAAAATTCACATATCTAAAATTTACTTTTTAAAATATTTCAGTGCCTTTGAGTGTACTCACAGAATTTTGCTACCAACAGTGCTATCTAATTTTTAGAACTTGTTCATCATCCTGAAGAGATCCCCCATACCCATTGTCCCCTCCCCCCTCAGCCCATGGCAACCAGTAATCTGCCTTGTCTCTAGTGATTTGTCTGTTTTAGACATTTCATATAAATGGAATCATAATATGTGTTCTTTTGTGACTGATTACTTTCACTTAACATAGTGTTTTCAGGGTTCATACACAGTAAACCATGTATCAGTGTTTCATTCCTTTTTATGTTTGAATTATATTCCATTATATGTGTATACCACATTTTGTTCATTCATCAGTTGATGGACATTTGGGTCAGTTCCACATTGGGGCTACCATGAATAATGCTGCTATGAACATTCATATACATGTTGTTGGGTGGACATATGTCACTTTTATTGTGTACATATCTAGGGTCATATGGTAACTCTTTATTTTACATTTTGAGGAATTGCCAAAATGTTTTCCGAAGTGGTTGCACCATTTTACATTACCAACAATGTATAAGGGTTCTAATTTCTCCACATCCTTGTTAACACTTATTACTGTCTTTTTAGTTCTAGCCATCTAACTGGGTATAAAGTGGTAGCTCATTGTAGTTTTGGTTGGAATTTCCCTAATGACTAATGATGTTGAACATCTTAGCATGTGCTTTTCATCCATGTATATCTTCTTTGGAGAAATGTCTATTTGTATCCTTTGCTTTTTTAAATTGAATTCCAGTAGTTGGTTTTCAACATCTCTTATTCTTCTGTAAATTATTTGAAAGTAACTTAAAAATATAAAAAACATTCATTGGTAGTAACCGTTATTATTAATAAATGGTAATAATTTTTTCTTGGTAAATTGAGGGTTAAATTTTTTCAAAATATAGAATCTGTTTTGGAGAAAAATTTAAAATGCAGATGCTGGGAAATTCTCATTTGCCTTCTCTTTACAGATGAAAAACTTGAGAGCAAGATTGAAGTCAAACAGTTAAATATCTAGAAAAGCCTTGTCTCTTAGTTTCTGATCTACTCTTTATTTTAGTTATCTTTGTCTAACACCATGGTCTTAGTATTATTTGGTGTACAATATTATATGTTACAGGTGTACAATATAGTGATTCACAATTTTTAAAGGTTACACTTCATTTATAGTTATTATAAAATATTTACTATATTCCCTGTGTTGTACAATATATCCCTGTAGCTTATTTTATACCTAATAGTTTGTACCTCTTAATCCCCTACCGCTGTATTGCCCCTACCCACCTCCTTCTCCCCACTCGTAACCACTAGTTTGTTTCCTGTATCCGTGAGTCTGTGGAAGCATTTTTTTTAACATGGAAGAAAAATCAGTATCTACTTGGGTCTTGATTTTTATATTTTCATCTTTTTTATTACCTTCTGCTTTTCATGACTATCCTCCTAAACCAGTCTTTATGATGAACCATGGTTTCAAGCTATTGTATAATGGTGTCACTTGCTAACTTGTGCTGTTGGGAAAGGGTTTGGGCCCTCATCGAGGGAATTTCTTGTGGCAAAGTGGGCAAAGCAGAACAAGAGCCACAGCCACAGTCCCGTTTTTGGTGAGCTCATAAGGTCCCTGCAGAGTTCTCAGCAGTGACATGGAAGGCTTGCAGCTTGCTCATTCATGCCCCATCAAGTCCAACCTTGCCTACTCCTACCCTTTTCCCCCATTCTCTTCCCCAATGGATTATGAAAAGTAGCTCACTGAGAAGCCTAAGTAAATGTGTGTATTAAGCATTTGCTTACCTTACTGGAGATAAGCAAACAGCCCTCCATCCTCACTTAGGTACTTAATACCTTCCAGTTATACAAGGTTTAGAGATTGGGAGCTGGAGGCCAGTGTCACAAGAAGAAAATAGAAGATGCCAAGTAGACCCCCTGCCCTTGTGTATAAGTGGCTTCCTGACTTGCATTTGGGCTTTTGTGAATATTCTTAGAGGTGAGTCAGATTATCTGATTCTAAGAACTATAATTAGGGTTTAGGTCTCTGCTCACCCCCAGTCATTCATACCCAGGTGCTTCTTGCCACTTCCCGAAACATGTAATACTCATTGAACTGTTCAGTATGTGTCCAGGGACACATTGTGGAGAAATGTAAGAAACTCCCTGTATGTGAAATAAAAGATGTTACCTGGTGTTTTCAGTTATTTTAAAATTTGTTTTTTCTATCTTTTTTCTAGATATTGAAAGATATAGTAAAAGATATATGAAGGTGTACAAAGAAGAGTGGATACCAGGTAATTGTAAAACTGAAAATGTTAAAATAATCTTTAAAGGCTATCTCCCTACCCCATATTTTTTAGGACAAATTTTGTATTTTCACCATAGGAAAATAGAGTGTGGCTCTTTTCCTATAATTAATTAGCAACATATATCTTTTGAAAACTAAGATGAAAAGATTTTTATATTGTAACACGGAAGGGTTGAAGTGTTTTTTTGGAAATTCTTAGGATACTTTGTTTTATTTTATAAACTGGGGCTCACCAGAACCATTGGGTTTTCCATTTCCTTTTGCCACAATCACAGTTTTAGTCTCTAATACCAGTAGTCCTCACTTCTGTGCACCTGCGTGATTTTATAGCTTCTGAGGAGAAAGCAAGTCTATTTTTATGAATATTTTAAGCCAAGTTTGTGTATCTTCCTTTCTTTCCAGCAGGCATAGACTCTTTTTGATTGTTAAGATGCCTTTTCAACAGAACCATACCTAAGAGTTTTTTTTTTCAACATTCACAAAATTGCCTTGGATAGAGACAAGGTGAAAGGGGGCTGCAGAGAACTCATCCAGTTCATTCATTTTATAGAAAATTAACAGTTGCCATAGAAATGAAGAGACCTGTCAGGATGACATGGACCATACTACTAAAACCCAGGTCTCCTCATTTTGACTCACTTTCCTTTGACATCTCTGTCCTTTGTGTGTTATGGAAACTGCCTGTATGTAAATTCGTAAGTTGCATTTACAGCATTATTGTTTTCCTGACTTACAGTACTCTTTCTTTTCAGTGCCGATTATTGATAAGGTTGTGTCCCTCTGAAAACACTGTCTTAGGTCTCTCATTTCTTCTGCTTCATAAACATTCATCTCTAAATGATTCTCTTTAAATACTTTCTCATGATCACCTGTGGATTGTTTATAAAAAGAAACATTTAAAGCAAAATTTATTAGTTGGGCTAAAATAGCTTGAGATATAAATGTTTTCTGCAGAAGACACTGAGTTTTTCTTTTATTAGCAGACAGTATTTTTATCTATTTTTATGTTGCTTCATTTTTCTGATTAAGCTTAAATTTGAAAAGGAGGTGACAAATTAAAGGAATTGTTTAATTAATGCAGGCAAAATTATTAATTGGAGGGAATTTACTTTTCCATAGCTATTTGTATTTTTAAAGTTTTCCTATAATTATTAGAATTGTTTATTTAGTTTTACATGTATTAGGATTGTGATCACATATTTTAACTTTTGAAAAAAAAATTTTATTACATAAGAAATACATATCAGGGCTTTCCTGGTGGCACAGTGGTTGAGAGTCTGCCTGCTGATTCAGTGTACACGGGTTCGTGCCCCGGTCCGGGAAGATCCCACATGCCGCAGAGCGGCTGGGCCCATGAGCCATGGCTGCTGAGCCTGCATGTCTGGAGCCTGTGCTCCGCAATGGGAGAGGCCACAACAGTGAGAGGCCCGTATACCACAAAAAAAATAAAAGAAATACATATCAACTACAGGGCTTCCCTGGTGGCTCAGTGGTTAAGAATCCGCCTGCCAGTGCAGGGGACACGGGTTCGAGCCCTGGTCTGGGAGGATCCCACATGCCGTCGAGCAACTAAACCCATGCGCCACAACTACTGAGCCTGCGCTCTAGAGTCCACGAGCCACAACTACTGAGCCCACAAGCCTAGAGCCCATGCTCCGCAACAAGAGAAGCTACCACAATGAGAAACCTACACACCGCAACGAAGAGTAACCCCCACTCACCGCAACTAGAGAAAGCCGGCGTGCAGTAATGAAGACCCAATGCAGCCAAAAATAAATAAGTTAAATAAATAAATTAAAAAAAATACATATCAACTACAGAAAACTTACAAAATACAGAGTAGTTAAATAAATAACACTTAACAGCTGTAATCCTAACACTCGCAAGGAATTACTGTAATATTTTGTCCCCAACCTAGAGCTTTCTCTGCACAAATATATATAAAAATATTTATATGGTAGGTTTATTTTTTAAATGGAATTCTATATGTATTGTTTTAGAAGCTTTTTTAATTTACCAGTATATCATGAATAACTTTTCATGCCCATAAATATTTTTCTACATTTTTTGTTATGAAAATTTCTGTATTTGAAATTAATTATATAAATAATATATAGCTGTTAAAAGAATGTTGTAGAAATTTTATAACACTTTCAAAGCTATTTTAATAAACTTTTTTTCTTCATAGAAGAAAATATATCACTGTTATAATTTGATCCCAGCTAAATATGTATAGTCAGATATTAAGAAACTTTATTTCCTTTGCATGAGCAACTATCATGTTCTTTATATAGTTATAGCTAGTGCCAGTAATTCCTAGAGGAAACTGCCATTTTTATATTTCTCCTTTTGTACACACAGATTGGAGAAGACTCCCTAGAGAGTTGATGCCAAGAAAAAAATGCAAAAAAGGTACATTAACTAATATAATAATAATAATCCAGGTAGGAAAAGGTTATTGCTTAACTTCCATTTAATATGGAACTGTCAATCTAATGTTACACTCAATGTTCTGAATGCTTTTTTCTTAAAATATTTTTGACATTATGATAATTTTGTTGGAACCTTTTGCTGTTGATTTTTTGTTTTGTTTTCTTTGTTTTTGTTTGTTTATCCTTTAATTATGGAATTTTGATGTGCTAGGAAAGACTTTTCAATTATGTAGATATTCTCATTTGCATATTTGAAAGTTTTAAAATGATTATACTGGCTATATTTTAAGTTTTTAACTAAAACATTTGGAACTGGTAACGTTTGGGAACTGTCGAATAGAACTTTATGGTGTACATAAAATATCACAGTGAAAGCTTCTGTTGTGTTGTTCCTTCATAATTCCACCGAATATAAAGTTGTTGAGCATCTACTATTGCCAGACACTGTGCTAAGAGGGATAAAACAGTGAGCAAAGTAGGAGTAATCCTCGCCCTCACAGACCTCACAGTCAGTTGGAGTAAAGACATTCAACGTAACACACTGTCTTCACTGGGAGGCCAGGGAAGGGTTCTTTGAGGAGGTACAATTGAACTCCAGATTGAAGGACGAGTACTGGCTTGCTGAGATGAGGTTGTGGGAGAGACATTGGAGAAATTGGGTTTTTTAATGTGTTTTTATTGTTGAGTTTTAGGAGTTCTTTGTATATTTTGGCTGATAGTCTGTAGGAAAAACACTCTTGTTGGGTGTTTATCCTTTCCTGTCACACCACTACCACATTCACAGCAATTCTGACACCAGATGTATGGAGTTTTTTCCTGCACATCAAGCCATTCTCTGTAACACCAGCTGTATCTCCTACAATTTAATTCCGTTCTGACACTAACTGGAGTTAGCACAGGCCCCACAGATTAAGGGCTCCGTCCCAGGAGACTACTCCCCACTACAGATGTCAGTCACAAGTATAGTGTGTCTCCAGGTTACCCACGACTTCTGTCTGAGTTGGCTACAAATCAGAGGTTCCCATGCCCTCCACCCCAAACCTTGAATTTGATTTGCTAGAACAGCTCACAGAACTTAGGGAAACATTTACTTACGTTTACCAGTTTATTATATAATAAAAGTTATGATAAAGGATACAGATGAACAGTCAGGTGAAAAGATATATAAAATAAAGTCTGGAAGGTTGCCAGTGCAGGAACTTCTGTCTCTGTGGAATTGGGATGTGCCACCTTCTAGTACATGGATATGTTCACCAAGCCAGAAACTCTTGGAACCACATACTTTGGGGATTTTTATGGAGGCTTCATCACATGGGCATGATCAATCATTAACTCAATCTCCAGCCCCTCTCCTCTTTTCCAAGGGATGGGAGATGAGGCTGAAAGTTCCAAGCTTCTAATCATCGCTTGATGTTTATGATAATCCACCCCATCCTGAAGCTGCCCAGCAGCCCACCAAGTGTCACCTCCTTAGAACAAAAGACACTCCTGTCACCCAGTAAATTCCAAGGGATTTAGACACATATTAGAACAACAACAAAAAAGCACACTATTGTCACTTAGGAAGTTATAAGGGTTTTAGGAGTTCTGTGCCAGGAACCAGGAGCTGAGACCAATATATATTATTTTCTATTTCACACAGTCCTTTTTCAAATATGTCTTTTGAAAACATTTTCTCCCAGTCTGTAGCTTGTCTTCTTATTATTCCTTGACAGTGTCTTTCATACAGCAGTTTTTAATTTTAATGTAGTCCAGGTTATCAGTTCTTTTTTTCATGGATCATGCCTTTGGTTTTGCCTCTCAGAAGTCATCACCAAGCTCAAGGTCATCTAAATTTTCTCCTATGTTATCTTTTAGGAGGTTTATAGTTTTGTGTTTTACATTTAAGTCTGTGATCCATTTTGAGTTAATTTTTGTGAAGGGTGTAAAGTCTGTGTAAATTCATTTTTTTGCACATGGAAGTCCAGTTGCCTTTTTCTGTATTTATGTGGGTCTCTTTCTGGGCTCTCTATTTGGTTTCGTTGGCCTATGTATTTATTCTTTCACCTATACCACTGTCTTGATTACAATAACTTTATAGTATGTTTTAAAGTCAGGTAGTGCCAGTCCTCTAACTTTGTTATTTTTCTTCAGTGTTGTGTTGGCTATTCTGGGTCTTTTGCCTCTCCATACATACAGTAGAGTCAGTTTGTCAATTTCTGCAAAATAATTTACTAGGATTTTGATTGAGATTGCGTTGAATTTATAGATGAAGTTGGGAAGAAATGACCCCTTGAAGATATTAGCTCTTCCTATCCATGAATATGGAATATCTCTCCATTTATTTAGTTCTCTGATTTCATTAATCAGAGTTTTGTAGTTTTCCTCATATAGATCATTTTGTTAGATTTTTACCTAAGTATTTCATTTTGGTGGGTATTAATGTAAACAGTACTATGTTTTTAATTTCAAATTCCACTTGTCAATTGTTCATATATAAGAAATCTACTGAATTTTGTGTATTAACCTGTATTCTATAATCCTGTTCTAATTGCTTATAGTTCCAGGAGTTTTTTAGCCAGTTCATTCAGATTTTCTACATGTCATCTGTGAACAAAGGAAGTTTTATTTTTTCCTTCCCAATCTACATACCTTTTGTATCCTTTTCTTATCTTATTGTATTAGCTAGGACTTCCAGTGAAATGTTGAAAAGCAGTGATGAGACGGAACTTTCTTGCCTTGTTCCTGATCTTAGTGGCAGAGTGTCAGATTTTTATTATTAATGATATCAAGTTTTTCACCACTAAGTATGATGTAACTATCGGGTGTTTTTGTAGATATTCTGTATCAAGTTGAAGAATTTCCCCTCTGTTCCTAACTTACTAAGAGTTTTTATCATGAATGGCTGTTTGATTTCGTCATATGCTTTTTCTGCATCTATTGGTATGATCATGTGATTTTTCTTCTTTAGCTTGTTAATGTGATGGATTACATTAATTTATTTTGGACCAGCCTTATATCCCTGGGGTAAATCCCCCTTGACTGTGGTGTATAATTCCTTCTGTACATTGTTGGATTGGATTTAAGAATATTTTGTTGAGGAGTTTTGTATCTTTATTCATGAGAGATGGTGATCTTTAGTTTTCTTTCTCATAATAATATGTGTCTGATTTTGGTATTAGGGTAATTCTGACCTCATAGAATGAGTTAGGAAGTACTCCCTTGACTTCTGTCTTTTGAAAGAGATCCCCCTCCCCTTTTTAACAGCTTTATTGAGGTATAGTTGACATATAATAAAATGCACATATTCGAAACATACAATTTGGTGAATTTTGACATATATATTTTAAATGGAAGTATTTTTATTTTGTTTTATTTCAAAGCTACAACATATAAGAATATTTAGCTTGATTGAGAACAGAATTATTATATATTGAGATCTGATAGTTTACCTGCTGTCCTTTATACCCTTGGCTTTTCTTAGACAAATATATTATTTTCACAATAAAATAACATTTGCTTGAATGATACTGGTCATGTTCTAGAGGATCACAAATTTTTAGCAGACTTTAAAGAGCTGAAAAGAATATATCTGATTTGGAGGAATTAATGTTCAAATACATCCCACCAACTGCTCATCCCTAGAATTACATATATACATTGATGATTTGTAAAAGCTTCCAGTGCATCAGGATTTTCATTTGTTGAAAAAGAAAACAACAAAACTTTCTTTTTCCATTCTTTTTAATATTTTTATTTCATATTATATAATTTTTGTGTTATGTTCCTGGTAAGCTTATACTCTCTCTTTTGTTATAATGGCCTCCCCTGATTTACATGAAAGTAAGCAATATCAAAAGAGCCAAAGACTGAAAAAGTTTGTTTCTTGAAGAACCAGCTATTGGCAGGTGTTGAAAGAAACAAAAAAATTCAAATATATGCATGTATTTGGCCAAAGATGAAAAAAAATTCATGTAAATGTTTTGGGGTTGAAACAGTCTTTTAACAACTTTTCATAATTTGACACTTCTTTCTCAATTATAAATAATACATAGCCAAAAATTGCTGAGTAGACTTGAATATGCAACGGACTTTCTTGGCTAAGAGATTAATAATTTTTATAAGTTTATTTACCTGACCATGTTCTATAATATCCATTTAACAGATTTATGTGTATGAAATTTAAATAATTTGATAAAAGCTCCTTAGAGAAAAAGACTTCTTGATGTAAGTTACATTCTTAACTAGTGTTTTCTGGTATCAATATTATAATATATATTGAGAGCTTGTTCATATATGATATTTTATGTGCTACAATTCAGATTAAACAGTCTTTGCTCTCAAGGGGAACAGAGATAGTTACCCATCATTAAATCTACCTATTTTTTTTTCATAACTTTTGTTTGAGCAAAACCTCACTAATATGTATGTTTGGGAGTTCTTCACTCAGTGACTCCTCGAGGGGCAATTTGGTATCACATAATAAATTGTAAATTCCATCAGTTATGGGTCATGCACCACAATCTAAAAATTTCTTCTTCTATAGGTTAAATGTTAATCTTTAACAAAATTACATCTTTCTGAGCCATATTTTCCTCTGTTACCAAGTAATTTCTAGGTATTTAGTTTGATTTTGGGAAAGAATGGTAATACTTTTTGATCACCATGGGACAATTTTGTAACATATCATAGTGTTTTGGTAAATGACTAGCAGGATCTATATGTGAAACAATTCTTTATACCCTGCAGTTTCACATTAGCCTCAAAATGCAATATTTTTGATACAGCTTAAAAAATTTTGTATCCCTAAGCTATTAAAACATTTTATTTATATTGCTTTGAGTTTTCAGATTCATATGATAGGTGTGTTCCATTTAACTATTTTAATCTTCATTACAAAGATAATGCTATGCTGCCCTGAATATAACTTCTTTCTCATCTCTTTAACCACTGGCAAATACATATTTATTCTACACTTGTATGTTTTTTAATTGAAGTATAGTTGAATTACATATTATATTAATTTCAGATGTACAACATAGTGATGTGATAACTTTTATACATCATGAAATGATCACCACTATGAGTCTAGTTACCAACAATCACCATATAAAGTTATTACAATATTATTGACCTATTCCCTGCACTGTACATTACATCCTCGTGATTATATATTTTATAACTGGAAGTATTTTCCCAAACCTGGTAGGATTGCCCTATTTAAAATTTCCTGATCAGTGAACAGGAAGCCAGTGTAGATGATACATTTGTGGGAGCCTTTCACTGGCCCTCTAGTGCTTTTACCTGAGGGAACATTGTCGCAGTTTTGGCCCTGAGGACATTAAATGCCAGTTCAAATTTTCAGTAAAGATATCTGGTTGCAGTCTTAGAAAATATCCTGTTAAGTGATTATCGTTTACTTCTCACCGTGGAAAATTGGTGATGTGTGCTGATTTATTTTGTTCATTCTTTAGGAAAATTAATTCATCCTGCAAATTATGTGTGCCTGGTATGGCATACCAGCATGCTAGATGGCATATTAAATGGCGAAGACATTTAATATACAATTGCTGTTATAGAAAAATGTGTTAACAGTGGTTTTACTTCAGCAGG